CCGATGAAGGGGGCGAGGCTCGCCTGCCACTACGTTTACGCTCTTGCTCTTCAAGCTCTTCTTCCTTCCTCAGTCGTTCACGATCACGTTGATTCGAACGGTCTCGAAATGCTGCAATCTCTGCGGCCACAATCTCCCGCATTTCTGCTGGGATGTCGGCCAGTTCGTCCTCGCCCGTCGCGAGACTGACAAATGCCACCTCGACATCTTCACCATTTTGTGCTGGTGCATCCTGCATCGTTGCGTCACCCCCATAGTCCACCGCAGGTGGGCTTGTTGGATTGAAGAAGCTAGTCAAAACCTGGGACAAAGCCTCTTTTGCCGTGTCCAAGCGGAACTGAACCGTGACCTCGTCTTCGTTTCGCGTCTTGCTCCATTCTTCCGCATACTTGATGGACGCATCGTCTACCATGACCTGCAACTTCGTAGTCTCGACCTCCATCTCCTCCTCGTCCTCCTTCTTCTCATGTCTTGGCTTTTGACGCTTCGTAGGCACGCGCACGTCTTGGAAGATTTCAGCGGCCGTCTCCAGACTCTGCGCATCACCAAATTCGGCAAAACCAAAAGTTTGGGGCTTGTTGTTGGCATCCGTCGCCCTCGTCCAGCGAACCAGCTTTCCTGCCGTCTCCAATATGCGCTCCATGCCCTCGTCACCACCCACGCCGTCTGGTATGTTGCCAACGAAGATGGTCCGCGCAATTTCCTCGCGCGTGGGCGGGATGACCTGTTGAGGTCCGTCTCTGCGGTCGCCGTCCCTGTCCATACCAAGGCCACGACGAGCAGGCGCTGTGGAATTGTCCTTGCGTCCTCCCGCCGGGCTGTCCTGCGCTCCACTGCGGCCACCTTGGGTTCCCAGGCGGATGACGGGCGCATTGAAGTTGAAGTTGGGCATGTTGGCAGGCTGGGCCCAGTTCGGGGGTAGAGCGCGTGGGCCTCCCAGTGCGGGTGGACCTTGGCCGAGCGCGACGCCCGGGGGAGCTACACCGGGAGGAACTGCGCCTGCGCCTGGAGGTGCTATGGATTGTCAGCAGTTCTCCTTCTCCAGATGTTTCAGGCCATTTCCAGCGGAGAAAGCTACTCACTCATACCAGGCGGCGCGGTCATGCCCGGTGGAGCGCCTCCATAAGCAGGAGGACGAGCATATCCTGGAGGAGCACCTGTACAGATTAGCCATGTTGTCCTCGTGCGCATAAGGCAAGGCTTTTATTCGTACCAGGGTAATTGTACATATTGTCCTCTTTACCAAACTCTGGTCACAGGATAGACGAAAAAGGATGCACAGTCGAAGAAAATGTAAACGCGTAAACGAGTACTATGTGGCCGTCGCGTGTGTTGTTGCTGCGACTGAACTAGGCACATGTCAAGTTGAGATTTGAGCCAAGTCGCGGTAACTGGTGAGTGAGAGAGCTTGGACCAACCACCTTTGCGCGCCCGAACAATTTTAGTTGGGGAACTTTGCCAATGGTGCGGAGCCAGAAGCACGACACAACCACACTTCACCATTGAACCCGCCAATCCCCTCCACATGTCTGCATACACGCCATAGGCAAAGATAAAAAGAACAATCCATCAAACTTTCGCGGGTCCAATGGCCTCACGCTCACTGGGCGAGCTCTTGCTCCGCCCATCTACCTTCACCCGCACACAACAGCCCAGGCCGTCATGGCCAGCCACAGCCCACCGCAGCCTCTCCACAACACCCAAGCACTCCGCCCAACCCAAACGGAAAGAAGACGACGAGCCCGACTTTGCCCAGACGCAATCGCCATCGCAACCGCAGTCCACAGACTCGGCACAGCAAGCCCGGCAGGCCTCGCAGGCGGAAACCACGAGGACAATCGACTCGCTCTTCGCCGGCATATCTTCGAACAGCAGCAGCGCACCGACCCCACCCTCATTCGCATCACGTAGTGCCCCCTCGTCAGGCGACGACATCCGCGCCGCACGCTCCAACCACATCTTCGGCTCTGAATTCAGTCCAGCGGGGCGGGGCAGCCGGTTTCGCCGCACGCCGACGTTGAATTTCGACTCGATGGCGCTGCCGGACGGCATGCTCAACCCTTCGCTCTCCAACAAGCCGTCGGAGGCGGCGGCGCTGGCCACGCAGCAGGAGGAAGTGTTTGCCAATTATCCGCGCTTGGACCCGACGTATGGGCGCAGCGTTGACTTGGATAATAGCAGGGGGAGGGATCTGGTGAGGGGGATTGGCATGCTGGCGAGTTTGGTGGCGAGGAACAAGATTAAGAATGATTTTGCAAAGCAGAAGTTTCATGAGCGGGGTGGGTTGAAGAGGAAGAGGCTGAATAGTGAGAGGTGGAGGGCAAGGTTCAAAGTTGGCTTTACTCGGATTACGAGTCGGGTTAGTGAGTTGACGAGGAAAGGGTGGTAGTTTTCTTGTCATTTCTAGATTTACCATGTATATGGATATAGACCTGTATTGTACTGTACTGTACGGATGCATAAGATGCAGAAGTGCAAAGAATCGCAATAGTTGCTCGTCCGCCTTGATTCCATGCGATGCGCGACAGGCTAGGTGACTGAAATACAGCATCATGATGCTCATATCATAGACATTATTAACCCATGATACACACATCTTGAAGACAGAATTAACTTCCAACCGAATTTCCCTACCCTCACATCCAAAACCACACCTCAACATACACTCCGCAACCCTCGAAATCAATCCTTCTTGCCAACCCCTCCACCGTACCCATACCCTCCAAGCCCAAGCCCATAGCCACTGCCGCCCCTCCCATTAGAAACCGGCAAGCCATACCCACTACCACCGCCAAACCTCCCACTCCCACCCCCATTCATCCTCTCAGTAGCATACCGCCTCAACCGCCTCGGCAACTCGACGCCCCTAAAATACACCACGCAAACCGCGGCACTCGCGACCGCACTCAAGATGCAGTAAATCAGCGTACTCGTATAGATGTGGCCGCCGTAGCCCGACCAGCCAGGCGGCAGGGTGGTGCTGGGGTACCAGCGCACGCTAAACGATAGGACGAGGGGATCACCGATTGTGATCTTGGAGTTGCGCGTATGCGACGCTATACTATAGGCTGTTGCTGCGTCAATGGTACCGCCGCCCCCATTCTTGCTCGAGACCTTGTCGCCCGCGTGCACGAGGAGGTTGACGCTGTTGCCGACGTGCAAGTGGCTGAGTTGCAGGGTGCCGCTGAGGGCGACGACGAGGGGCGTGTAGAGTGTCGACTGTGTGCCCATGGCACCTTCCTGCGTGCTCTCGTCCGAGACTCTGTACTCGGCTTCTAGGACGCTGGGTGGGAGGGGTCGGGATGGGATGCGGCAGGATAAGGGGGCATCGTTGTGGATGTAGAATTCTAGGAGGTGGAATAACGAGTCGGTGACGAAGTCGATGGTGCAGTTAATTTCGCGCTCGACGCCGTAGAAGAGTTCGAGCGGGCGCGAGGTTTCGTTGCAGGTGGGGAAGGGTATGTATTGCAGGCGGCCAGCTGAGTCGGTGATCTAAGGTCGGGTCGGGTCAATATGTGTGGTCTCTCAATTGTCTAGGGGAATGAATGTCGAGGCATGGGTGATGACTTACATGTTCGCCGGTCTCTCTGTTGCAGCATTAGCGACTGTCGCTTTGTTACAGTACTTTTCATGATAAACTTACATAGTTCTGTTCAAACAAGAAACTGGTATCCGCTCTCCAGGATTGTATCCTCTAGAATTCTCTGGGCTCTTCAGCGGTTCCTGCCCGCTCAATGCGCTCGCGAAACCCGCCCATACTGAGCACAGTGCAAGCGTGCGTCGCATGTTGTGCACACCTCCTTATGTCCGTGAATATCAAATGAATTAGAATAGCCGCCAATTACGGGATGTTTGAATACTCAAGAAAAGTGAAAGGACACCATTGTGAAGCCGTTCAGTCGCAAAGTCGCGGTCGATCTGTCAACTTTCAAGTGTGATGTTCATGGGTCCGAGCGTGCAGCACCTCCGCAAGACCTCCGCGATTTATTTGTACGACAACACGAAACACGACAGTATAACAACCATACGTTCTCGACGTAATATATTAATCTCATCTTGTCACCAAGATTGATGGTTACTTCCTAGATACTTTTGGTTCCATTGTGAAGTCATTCAATCATTACAGCACATGCTCCAATCCCCTGCCATGCGCGTTTACAGAGCGGCCTTCTTCTTGAAAGCATTGATGAGACCGCTCGTGCTAGCATCGTGCGATGTGGACTCCTTGTCATCATCGAGCTCCGCTTGGATCTTCTTGGCCAAAGACTTGCCGAGCTCGACACCCCACTGGTCGAAGCTGTTGATGTTCCAGATGGCACCCTCGGTGAAGGTAAGATGCTCGTAGTACACGATCAAGGCACCAAGAGTGGCGGGGGTAATCTTATCGGCCAAGATGGAGGTAGTAGGTCGGTTGCCCAAGAAGGTCTTGTGGGAGACAAGTTCAGCGGGTGCACCTTCGGCCTTAACCTCATCAGGGGTCTTGCCGACCATGAGGGCCTCAGCTTGTGCGAAGAAGTTGGATGCAAGCATCCTGTAAACATTAGTAAGATGCTCATTCTCGAACCATGTCATACTCACTTCTGGTGCTTGTTGTTCTCAACAGGGTTGTGGCTCTGCGCAGCGAGAATGAAGTCGGTGGGAATGAGCTTGGTACCCTGGTGAAGAAGCTGGTAGAACGAGTGCTGAGCGTTGGTAGCGGGCTCACCGAACAGAATGGGTCCGGTCGTGTACTTGACGTAGTCACCGCTGCGGGTGATAGCCTTTCCGTTCGACTCCATGGACAGTTGCTGCAGGTACGCAGGGAATCTGTGCATGTACTGATCGAAGCTGCATCACTGTCAGAATTAATCAAAAGCCTTGCAAAATCTACAACTTACGGAGAGACAAGGTGCGTTTGCGCACCGAAGAAGTCGGAGTACCACACACTCAAAAGACCGCCGATAACGGGGATGTTCTTCTCAAGAGGAGTCTCTTTGAAATGCTTGTCCATAGCGTGGGCACCAGCAAGCAACTGGTGGAAGTTGTCGAAACCAATGTAGAGAGCAACGCTGAGGCCGATGGCACTCCAGACACTGTAACGCCCACCAACCCAGTCGGAGAAGCCGAACATGTTCTTCTTGTCAATACCAAATTTTGTGACCTCCTCAACGTTGGTTGAAAGGGCGACGAAGTGCTTCGCAATGTCCTCCTCCTTTGCGCTCTTCAAGAACCATGACTTGGCAGTGTTTGCATTGGTCACAGTCTCGGCTGTGGTGAAGGTCTTGGAGGCGATGAGGAAGAGGGAGGTCTCAGGGTTGGAGTCCTTCAATGCCTCGGCGATGTGGGTTCCGTCAATGTTGGAGACGAAGTGGATCTTGAGGTCGCGCTTAGAGTAGGCCTTGAGGGCCTCGGAGACCATGACGGGGCCACTATAAGTATGTCAGCACCGTCATCTCGAAAGCGCAGCTATTCATTACTACGAGTAGCACAAAGTCAACGTACAGGTCAGAACCACCAATACCAATGTTGATGATGGTGTCGATCTTCTTGCCAGTGTAACCCTTCCATTCGCCGCTGCGAACCTGCTCGCTGAACTCCTTCATGTGATCAAGTACCTCGTTGACACCTTCGACAACGCTCTGGCCGTTGACCTCCATCTTCTGGTTGGAGGTGTTGCGGAGGGCGACATGGTAGACGGCGCGGTCCTCGGTGAAGTTGATCTTCTCACCAGCAAACATGTCATCACGGAGCTTCTCGAGGCCAGCCTCCTTGGCGAGCTCAACGAGGAGCCTCAGCGTCTCCTCGGTGATGAAGTTTTTGGAGAAGTCGAAGAGGATCTCCGTGTTCTCGGCATCGTTCTTGAAGGTGTGGCTAAACTTCTCGAATCGCTGTTCTGAATCAGCCACTGGCCATTGGGGATCGGGGCCAATCTCACCTGCGGGTCCTTTTTGAAATACTCCTTCAAGACAATGTCCTTTCCTAGCTTCTGGTGGTGGTCCTGGAGGGCAGACCAGGCATTGAGATCTGAGGCCTGTGCGAAGCCGGGCATGTTGTGCTGGAAGAGCTTGGTGGGGTCAGCTTATGATGTAGAGCTTGCCGCTGCTGAGTTTCTCCAGTGAACAGTGCATACATACTTGGGTAATCAGGATAGATGGAGGCAATGGATGAAGGGCACAGTCTTGTATGAATGAAAATACAGCAAGAGAAGATGGGAGAAGTCTTAACTAATGACGGCGTAGTGAGCAAAACGTAGCCGGCGCGGCCGAGACCCCCGCGTTGCGTCAGAGCTCGTCCGTTACGGAAGGAGGGGCACACCACTTTTCTGATCTTGCACGCGCCCGTCACAGCAGTCGCCAATGGCTAGACTACACCCGTTGACATGTCTGTGCCCTAGGATAGGACCAATGCAAATCACACACCACGGCTCCTCACTAATGCCACCGGCAGCAATGCCTATACCTGGGCAGTGCACTACATACAAGTGGGTATAATACACACATATGGCCCGTCGCGCCAGGACAAGGGTGATGTGGGCCCCAGATCATGCAAGTGGGATATCTTTCTTGTATTGCCTAATTCTGGCTGCTCACACAAATGCTGCCTCATGCGCCGATGCCAATTGTCCCTGAACCCAAAAGCTTGAAATGCGCTGAATCATCCCACCAATCGCTTCCTCGTTCCCTGTGTGGATCCAGAGCCCCAAGACGCGTTGAGCTGGTGTCGGCTTAAACGCCGTGCGAGTTGGCCAAGCACCAAGTCAAACGCCGTTCTCCGAGGCCGACGGAAATGTTAACATCAAAAGCGCGCTCTATCTTCCTGCTACATTCTCAAATGATGGATCCTTGACCGATCCACCGGCATCTCCAAGACCAGCAACTGGGCGATTGTATGACCATCCTGCGAACTGTGCTTGCATCGTCTGTGAGAGCATAGGCCCATCCACGTACGAATCCGTTGGCGCCTCAGATGTGAATTCACGATCAAAGTTGGCCGTGTCCTTAGCATCAACCTGGAACCTGATTAGTACAACATTTCGGCCTTCTCCAGAGCTCAGACTTACCACATTGGGCTTGAAGCTGGGCTCGTACTTCCTCTCGAGAAGCTTTCGCCAGTCGATGCTGTGGAAGAAGTAGTGTGCTTTAATCTCGGCCGCACCCTTTGCTCCCAACCGTTTCTCCGCATTGCGATCCAAAAGACGAGTCAAGAGATCACGTGCAGCCGGTGGGACAATCTCCGGGCCAGGGAAGTGCAATGGTTCGGTGAGAATTTTGCGGTACATGTCGTTGGTGTTCTCGTCGTAAAAGGGTGGTAGACCCGTCAACATCTCGTAGAGGAGCACACCCAATGTCCACCAGTCAACAGACTTTGTGTATCCGGCGCCAGTAAGAAGCTCGGGGGCGAGATACTCGGGTGTTCCACAGAAGGCTGGAAATGGTAAGCATAGTGTCCGGTTACATCATCTACATGCACTTACTGTTTGTGCGGTCCTCATCCTTCATGTCCAGCTTACACAGACCGAAATCGCAGAGGGCAATATGTCCGGTGTAGTCAAGCAGAATGTTCTCTGGCTTCAGGTCACGGTAAATGACGTTGAAACCATGTAGACACTCCAGAGCACATAATAGCTCAGCAGCATAGAAACGAGCACGGTTGATGTCGAATCGTTGCTCCTTTTGTAGATGATGGAACAGCTCCCCGCCGTTGACAAAGGCCAGCACTAGGTAGAGCTTCTCTGGTGATTGGAAGGAGAACTTCAGTGGCACAATGAAAGGATTGTTGATCTGCGCAAGGACAGATCTTTCTGCCAGTGTATGTGCGACCTCGGATCGAGAGATGATGTGAGCTTTGCGGATGGTTTTACATGCGTAGATTCGATGTGTGTCTTTCTTCCTGTATGTTGTGAGTGGGTGAAGAGCCCAGAGGGGCGCGCAGAAAAAACGTACTGGACTTGCATGACTTTGCCAAAACTGCCCTTGCCAACCACCTTTAGAAGCTCAAAATCATCAATAGTGAGACGATCCTGTCGATTCTCCACAAAATTTACGCCAATCTTCATGGAGCCGCTTCCGAACTGCACAGGCACCCATTCAGCACCAGCCTGGCCTATGGAGTCCTTCTTCGCCTTCTCATCCGTCCGTTGCTCTTCGAATCGCGGGTGAATCTTCAGAGTTCCAATGAAAATATCCTCGTTGCGGCCAGCGTTGGGAGGTGCGGTAGGGTTGCGAATGTAGAGGGAAACCGTCAGGTCGGTGACTCGAGACACATCGAACTTGTACTGTGTGTTACCACCGGCCCAGAGAGGGTTTTCCGGAGTACCAGAGACTGCATTGATGAAAACTTGCTGCTTGTCGAAGTCGACGAGGGCATATGGAAGGTGTTTCGAGGAGTATCGACCGTGGATGGTAGGCGCGGCGTTGATGCTGCCAGCAGCAGATTGTGGGCGAGCGCTGTAGGAGCCCACTGCGGGGTTTCGTGATGAGGAGCCAGGTCGCATGGAACCAGCTACCGATAGCCCACCACCTTGCGACAGAGAGCCTTGATGATGGGTAGCTCCGCTGAAAGCCTGCTCGGCACCTGCGGGCAGCGAGAACTTCTGGCCTTCATGAAGGGTAACTATGAGAATACCGGGGCGCAGAGGTGGTGCAGGCGGGGCGGCATTCGCTTCTGAGGCGGCTGCGCTCTGTGGTCAGCCACATGTACAATATAAAATCAAGCACAATGTCGATCAAAAGCAATATAGCATTGCGCGCAAAGTGGCAACCTACCTATGCCATTGTTGTCTTTGGAGTCCACGAGCGAGGCGGCACTGCTGCTGGCGGTGGGCGTCTTGGCCTGGTCGACAATGGTCGAGGTGGAGGTCGAGGACGAGCGACTGAAGGTGTTGGCAAGCGGCGCAAGATGCGTCTCCTTGAGCTCTGCGGGTCTTGATTAGCCGAGACAGGGTGTGCATCAGTTGAGCGGGCACACGCACTCTTGGTGAGCTTCCAAGACATATTTGCAGCGGCTCCACGATTGTGGGCGTTGGGTGGGTGCAGGAGGGCACAGGGAGAGAGGGCAGGCAGTAACTGGGCGGTGCGAGGGGAGGTAGGTGGGAGACGCGGGCAGGCGGGCAGCGGGCAGGCGGGCAGGCGGGCAAGAAGCGGCGGCGGCGGCGGCGGCGGCGGTGGAGGGGCGCACCAGCAACGTCGAGGGTTGAGGCAGGCGGTGGGCGCGGTATGGACAACTGCGGCTTGTGATGCAGCACACAGGATATGGGAGGAGACGGGAGGACAAGGGAGAAAGTCGAACAAGGTAGAGCAGAGTAGAACAATGGAGCAAAGCAGAGGAGGCTGTGACAATAGGGAGCGGAAGGGTGGCAAGATGCAGTCCGAGTGTCCTGTGCAGTCAGTCCAGTCGCAGTACTTAGCTGGCAGGGAGCTTGCTTTGGGACCACGGTGTGTAATAATACTCTATGTACTGGTAGGAGGTATGGCAGATGGGCGGATTGGTGGCAGATTGGCAGATTGGCAGATTGGCAGATTGGCAGATTGGCTGACTGACTGGCAGATAGATTGGCAGCCTCTGGTTTGCGATTGTGGGCGCGCAGGTCAAGGCGCGGCCCTCTCCTCTGTTTGAGCCTTGAGGAGTTTGAGGGGTTGATCAGCTAGCCCTTGACTCTAGCAGTACTGTACCTACATAGGATAGGTACCGTAATCTCGGCCGTGACCAGGTTGGGCTTCCGCACCTGGGCCTGCCAACCGCCTTCATTTCCAGTGTCCAAGTGCTGTGTTGTAAATACAAGTAGGTACAGTGCTTGCAGTACCTGCCAGTGTGCAGAATGCCAGCAATCCAGTGTTGGGAGCCCCCGCCGCATCCCGCGTCTCAGAGTGTGTGCTATTTTTGTCCATTCTCAGGACAAGTACTCCGTATCTGCTCCGAACCCAGCCGTCTACCCGACCTACAGACATGACTGTATTTGTCGACTCTGATCAGTCCTGGATCATTTCATGTCCCATACCCGTACCGTCATGGGGACGGAGAGGACATGGCTAGCAAATTCACACCCAACCCCCAAACCTTACCGTAGAGTACACACCCAAAAGGCTAGCATTTGCCTACACGTACACTCCAGCACGCTGCCAGCCTCGGCTGCAATTGCCGCCTCTGGCAACCTCGCAGCCCAGGCACCGCACCTCACCCAGTACCATCGCTGCCAGTTCACTGCCATCACTGTCATTCTCGCCAACGCCCAACGCATGATTGCTGCCCACCTACCCGCTCCACGACGCGTCATCACATCCACACATCCGCAGGAATCCATTCTCCCGCCACCCGTGCACACGCGCTGTTTCACCCTGCACCGTCTGCACCGCCACACCTTCTGCTCCGGCACCCTTGTGACGATCCCACTTCACCGCAGCCCCAGTGCCAGCGCCAGGCTCTAGTGGTAGGCCGCCATGGGCGTGATCAAGAAGAAGACGGGCACGCGGGGTACAGAGGGTGGCATCAAGTATGTTTGCGACGTCTGTTCATCCGACATCACGTCGACTGTAAGTCCCGCACAGACACCCACTACCACGCCCACGCCACGCCCACCACCACTACTGTACACTATACTCACACCTGCAGGTTCGTATACGATGCGCCGAAGACGTCTGCCATGAGTATGATCTCTGTGTCCCATGCTTCTCCGATGGCAAAGCCACACGAGATCACCAGCCTGCGACGCATTCCTTCCAAGTCATCGAACAACATTCGATACCTATATACACCGAGGACTGGGGCGCAGACGAAGAGCTGGCACTACTCGAAGGAGCAGAAACATACGGCTTGGGATCATGGGCAGACATTGCGGACCACATTGGTGGCTACCGGGAGAGGGACGAGGTGCGCGACCACTACATCGACACCTACGTGAACAGTTCAAAGTTTCCCCTGCCAGAACACTGCAGCAAAGACGATGCCGAGCTGAGCACGCGAATACGGCGTGATGAATTTCAGGCAAACAAGAAGCGAAGGATTGAGCAGAAGAAAGAAGCAGCCGCATCTGCACCTCCAGCTACTCCCAAGCAGAAGCCTACAGCCAGTGTGCCAGCCTGTCACGAGGTCCAAGGATACATGCCGGGTCGCTTGGAATTCGAGACCGAATACTTCAACGAAGCCGAAGAGGCCGTCCAGCACATGTCGTTCGAGCCCGGTGATGGCATCAATCCCAGGACGGGAGAGATGGAGCCCGAGATGGAGTTGAAGATGATCATCATGGAGATCTACAATTCCCGGCTGGACGCTCGAGTGGAGAGGAAAAAGATCATATTTGAGCATCAATTGCTCGAGTACCGCAAGAACCAACTGGCGGACAAGAAGCGCACCAAAGAAGAGAGAGATCTCATGAACAAGGCAAAACCTTTTGCGCGGATGATGCAGCATAACGACTTTGAGCTATTCTGCAAAGACCTCGAGTACGAGCACAACCTCCGCCAGGCCATATCCCAGCTGCAGGAGTGGAGGAATATGCAGATTACAAGTCTGAAGGCGGGAGAAAAGTACGAGCAGGAAAAGCAACAACGCCAGACTCGACCGCCTCCCCTTGGTCAGTTTGATCGTTTGGCTTCCAGTAGGCCTGGAAAGCCTACACCTCCATTCGAACAACCCCATGCAGCCACCGCTTTGCTCGCCCACGACCTGCCCCTACACGTCAAGCAGAGCAGTGGTCTTAGCACACCACCGCCAGATGCCAATGCCACCAAGGTCAAGTTTGTTCCCAAGGCTCTGCCTAATACGGTGCCTCTGAAATTTGGCAAGGAATCCAAGGCGGACCTCCAGCTCCTCACTCCAGAAGAGATTGACATATGCAGCACGCTACGCATTATGCCCAAGCCATTCTTGGCACTGAAGGAAATTCTTTTGCGAGCTGCTATCAACAATGGCGGTGTATTAAAGAAGAAGACCGCCAGGGAACTGCTAAGAATTGATGGTGCAAAGGCGGGACAGTTGTTTGAATATATGGTGCATAGTGGTTGGATCGCGAGGGGCTAAAGTAGCCCCCCCCCCCTTGGCCAAGTGCATTGAACTGCTGCATGCTTGCGGCTGGCAGAATCTTCGGTGATAGCAAATTAAGAATTATCAATTCACGTCAGTTCGTCAACGTGATATCTCCACATCATGAAGTGGTTACATCCGTGGACCAGATGTCGTCGGCAATGCAGCGCTAGGGTGATGATCGACCGCTAGGATTGTGGCTGGTTCCCTGGACAGCAGAGACCCCCAAACAATCAGCCTCGACATTGCATCACCACTTGTCAGACCATCACCACGACTCCCAACACTCGCCATGCATCTCTAGCTTACCTCAAGTTCGTCTGGGTTGCTGGAGCGTCCGGAAACAGGGCAAGAAAAAGACTGCATAGTCGCATCAACATCCTCTCGCTGGTCGCCTATTTCACCCAAGGCCGCAGGCAACAGAACGACATATGGGGACTGCGCCGCGCTACCCAAACGAGATGCCTGGGCTATATACCTCTTCGCCGTCGCTTCGGCGCCGCGAAACACGTACAAGCTTTTTAGATGTGGCCCCAAGCTACTCTTATGCGGCCGAAACTGTTGGGCACCAGGTGACTGAACCGGAGGACCACGAGACCCGCAAGCGATCCCGAGACACTCCATCCACCACCCATGGAGCCACTTCGTTCTGGGGATCTCGCTTGACCGATGCGAGGAGCCCTCCGCCGCTTGCACACGACCGCTACGAACTTGCGCGCGGCGGAATGGACGATTCGCCCCATGTGTCGCGACAGAATGGAGACTACGATGATTACTTTCAGCTGCAGAAACAGCGCAGGACCTGGTCGATACCACCAACGCCCTACGGCGGAGCAGTGAAACGGTCGGCGGACGAGATGGAAACAACAACAACAACAACAACGCCAGAGGGAAGCAAGTCATGGAGTATCTTGAGTCTGGTGGGAGGAGTTGCAGGCAAGCTGTTCCAATTCTGCACAGTGCCATTTCGAGGCTTTCAGGCAGGGAACGGACCAAAGTACAACCTCGATTCACAAGACGAGATTGCGACCAGACTCGGGCTCCAGGATAACCCATCCGAGTTCCATTTCTCGGGCGCCGTTCAGCAAATGACCCCTGGTAACTTCCCCGCCGACAACTATGGCGTGCAACCGATAGATTCGATCCAAGACGAGCGCCCGCGCATGACAAAGCGCCTGCGCACAACAGACAATTGGGTCGTCGTAGGCAACAACGGCGAAACCGAGTCTCGACCCTCGACACCACGCCTTGCCGAACGCCGAGTCCCAGACCACCGCATATCGCCCTCTCAAATCCCGCGCCCAGTCGCAAAACCCGGCACAGCCACCCCTTCCCACAAACGACCCTCGCTCATCCCCGTCTCACGCCGCTCCACCGTGGACCAGAAATCCGTCCTCTCGAACCCACCCGCCCGTCGGCGATCCTACAGCCGACAGAGCTACGGCTCCCCCACGGTCAACGAGGACCCGTTTAACAAGCCCAAGAGCCCATTCTCCAAGAGTCCACTGCCCAAGGACAGTCAGCGGCTGCTGAGCAAGGTTCGACAAGAGGAGTTGGAGGAGGATGCGCGCCTGCGGCGAATGAGTTCGCAGATGAGTGCCATGCTCAAGGAGGCCAAGGAGGCTTTGGGCGCAAAGTTTGAGGTCGAGGATTATGCGGACGAAGACGATGTGATGGCTGATGTGGGCGCATCTACACAGCAACCAAAATGGTTTTCATAATTTGTTCAGATTCTTGTTGATTCTGAAGGTTGAAATTGGTTCTAATCTCTCTCTGTGTGGCTTTCTTTTCCTTTTCTTTGCGCTGGGAATTTGGATGGTGGGGGCGTTTGTTTCTTTTTATATTTCTCTTTCCCTTTTCTCTCTCCATTGCCCTCGCACTTTCCATTTGTCGCACATACCGGGCGTTCTGGTGTCCAGCACATCACAGTACATCACAGTACAGACTATACCCTCTCGCAACCACAATCGTTGAGCCGGGGGATCTTGATTTCCCCCTTTGTCTTGTTATTGCTGTTTATCTCCTTTATACAAACATGGAAGATTGTTCATAGCGCCTGGTTTGGAGTTGTGCTGGGCTTGGCTCTATAGATGTTGAGGATCTTTTTTGGGAGTTTTTTGGTTGAATATATTTGTTGTTGAACTGATTGCGTTGTTAGATGCGTGAGTGAAGGTGTGAGTGATGTGGTGGCATGGTGCTGGTGTGGGGTTTGGGGGAGGAAGGGGAGGGGGTCGTGGAAGAAGGGAAGGGGCGGTAAAGGAGGATATGGCGTAGGGTAAGGCGGGGTGCTAGGTCATCATAGTCTATATACGTGCTGTGTGCTGATAGTGTGGAAGAGAGTAGGAGAGTAGGAGTATAAGATATGAAGTACATAACTAGCATGGAAAATTGCAACAATATGGTCAAACAAGATACTAGCAACCTAGCTAACAGAAAAAGCGGTCCTGGGTTTTTAATAGGAGTAAGAATTTGATAGATTTCTTGTTAATTATGTTACAAGGCGGTGTAGACTGTGTCGGCGCTATGGATCGATGGGTTCGTTGCTAGGCTGCTAGGCAGTAGGTTTGTATAACTACAGGTTTACAATGATATGTTAGATTACAAGAAGAATATAACTAGACATAACACAAACTAAGCTAAGCTAGCAAACCATTCTCACAACAGCCACAAAAGGACAGGCTTCCCTAATACATTAACAGCCACAAAGGAGTCCAAAACATTCGGTATCAACAGAGCTCCGGCTACATCCTCACTTCGTAAACGTACCCAGGGTCGAAACTGCTGGTATTTGACGAAGACTCATGGGTGTAGATACGTGTAGAGGCATGTTAATGTATGTAATACATTGCGAGGGGAACGTTTACTACAACAAAGATCTGTTGATTGCACAGCTTACATGTTGGGTTGAGTAAGTGTCTCAACTGTATTATTTTTTTTAAAAAAAATAGAAGCTGCGCAGTCTCAAGGACGGGGATCTTGTCAAAACAATTACTAACTCTGGACCTTTGTATAGCAGATATACAGTTACAAAATGAATCTGTATCGACTTGTATTGATATGGTTTACTATGCCATGATGCATTTATAAGGCAAGATCTCTACAGAATTCTCCGTAAATCTTACTTGTCCAATAGCTTCATTTTGCCCCTTAGGAATCTTGAATAGTCTCCAACACAGAGAGTACTACTTCAGCTATTGTGACCTCAGAATGTGCTTACTGTATGCCTCCCATCTTCGCTCAAGCGGGGGCATTATTTCCCCACAAAGCTATTGATTTTGAGCCCATGACTACTTCCTATTAACTAACACGCGGTTGGAGATATGTAATCACACACTGCTAGGTAGGTCACTTACCCAAGATAGCTTCACAATTTGCCCAGTTGCCAAACACCCTTGCATACCTAGTCCTAATCCCTCGCCTGCGTTTAAACACTGTTGAAGATAGACCGGTCACTCTGCAAACGGGGTTCATGGGAGTAATTATGATCTTCTTGAGAGGATTTGATACTACACACCCTTACATGCAACTTAGCTAATGGCAAGTTTGACGAGAGTTTAAATACACGAGTACTACGGTAAAAAATTGTTTACTGTAGAATGGTACGCTAGGGGTTTACTATATAGGTGTAAACTGACCTCATGTATACCCGTAAATAGGTTTAAAGTGGTGGTTTACTTTTATTAAAGTAGTGGTTTACTTTACTTTTATAGTAGGGGTTTAAATTAAGTATAAAAAGTAGTTTTATTTCTATAATACGCTATAATACCTAACTAAGACTAAAAGGGGTAAAGAAGATTAGCTTTACGCTATATATACATATAACATAATAATAAGTCATGATATTTTTACTAATAGGAGGTGGTGATAATAGAGGTGGTAGTAATAGAGGTAGTGGTGATAGAGGTGGTGGTAGAGGTAGTGGTAGAGGTGGTGGAGGTGGTGGTAGAGGTAGTGGTAGAGGTAGTAGTAGAGGTGGTGATAGAGGTAGTAAAGAAGATTAAAGAAAGGAGGGGTAAAATACTTAAATAGTTAGTAGGAAACTAGTTATTGCAGTACTACGTAATACTAGTAGATTAATAGAAGTAGAAATAAAAGTAGTTTACTTTTGTGGAATACATAGTATAATAAACCCTATAGAGGTTTACTTCTTCTACCTAAACCACTTCTTAGTCTACTTTAGATAAATATGGCTACTGTAAACCAGTTTTGTACCGTAGTGTAGTCATTACTAGAATCTAGTATATATCGTTTGGCCAATCCAAGATGCCACGTGAGAGCTGTCCTAGAGTAATGTGGGGGAGTTGCTGTGACTACCTTGTTAAGAAAAGTGAAAGGTCTGCTGATCACGCATGAAGTACTACCGCCACTCATGGTAAGCAATACACACTTCATAGACTATGAGCATTTAGTACTCGGTACGTAAACTCATTTTCTATGGCAACGAAATTATTCCAATTACTCGTAGCCCTGTCTATGTCGATACATTTCAAGGCGGACATCGACATGATTCAAATGCGCATACCATCCCCGTGTGCAGTGACCAGAAAATCAGCCACCAACTACTGCTTTACATTTATGTTTCAAATCCGTGTAGTAGCAGCAGCAGCATACACCACACATGTAGCCTATTATACTCGGCGGTAAAGCTTTACCAGTGCTAAGCTGTCACAGCTGTTTCAATCCCATTCAGAATTCCAGCGTATTCCCTCGCAGAACGGATATGCCATGGTGACGGCACAATGAGGTGAATGCCCCCAGCTTCAATGACGTGGGATATATGCGTCATGTTTAGATACAGTATCAGTGTGAAATCGTGGGTCTTATTGCCAGTGATAAATTTAGAACATAGCTGGTCCACGCACTTCTTTAGAACGCGTTCTTCTTATATAAATGCTGCTTTTTTATCATCAACGTTTGACCTGCTGTGCGTGCGCCTGGTAAGTTGACAAACGTTCGTAGTTAATCTAGAGGCATACAAAATTACACCATTGTCCAGACACGTCTTGATACTCCTTGACCCTGATCCTCCCCATCTTCACTGGTCCTGATGCGACACGAGAGTTCCAGAGGGAGGGGGAGATAGTATAAACACTCCTCCGCCCACGGCGTAACAACGACCTCACCTCCCCGCCATCCCGCTCGCTCAGTCCCTCCAACAACACCAACAACATCTCTAAACCACCCAAGACTCCTCTCACGCGCAACTACCACAACTCACACACCACACCAAAAGCCAAGGAGACACAGGTAGAGTACAATCCCCCCAGCCGAATCCAACCACCAGTCCAGAGCCCCACCAGACTCGCCTATCCCAATCCGCTCCCCCATCTCCATTCGGAAACCCACGCTCCCACCAATCCCCCCATCTCCAGCCCCGTCCGCACTTGAACAACATCCCTGGCCACACGCCACACTCTCTAATCAACGGGTCGACCCCTGATGCTACAATATTGTGCAATGGGGCCTAGATCAGTCCTAGGGTCTGTCTGGGCGAGCAAAGATGGGCCTGGGAACCCTTATCTGCGTTGTGGCTCAGCCTCACTTCCCGTTACGATCTAAGCCAGGTGGGTACAGTAGATAGGTACCCCACCTTGCCATGACGGGACAACGACACGGAGGCGAGAAACTCCGGTGGTTGTTTAGATAAGGATGAATAGGTGTGAATGCACACATGGAGATGCAGGATTTGGTAGGCAAGGTAAGGTAAGGTAAGGTAAGGTAGTTGTGCCAGGTATATCCCTGTGCCAGGTATATCCCTGTGCCAGGTATCCCCGCTGTGGTGTATGTAGGGTATGTACCATGTACCGTAGAGTACACACAGTGTGTGTTGAAGATGTGATGTTCATGTGCAATATAACTAGTGCATGTAGATCCCCTCCATCCCCGCCTTCCACCTACCTATACCTGCACATGCGATACGTTCCGCTTGAACGACCGATACCTACATAGGTACATCAGAGTATGTACCTACATGGACGTCCCCGCAAAAGGAGCCTTTCCAAGAGAATTGGAGATTTATAGCGCCCCCATGGCGGCGCGGAGTACTCATCGGGATAAGCCTGGTGGGGGCTGGTTACGGTACATATCGCGAGGTACCTAATAGCCGTGGAAGTTGAAGGGACTTTATCCCGAGGTACATGGACGTGGGATCTACTGGTAGCGGTTGGGTAGGTACCATGCTGGGTAGATAGGTACATACGGCCTGGTGTGTTGGTGGCGGTGGGGGTAGGTAACATGTACACGATGTGCGGGAGAGGATACTTTTCCCCCCTATGCAAACTGCTTGGGGTGGATGTAGTAGCGAGATGAAGGTGTGCTTCTCAGATGCACCGGATACTCCCCCTTGGTACATTCAAGCACCGATAGAGGGTGTTTTAGTCTACGAGCACATCTCAACACATGTACACCACATACCCAGCTCTAGCCTTTGGACGCGCAAATACTGTACTCTACTGTATGCACAATATCAGGCCAAATCAGCATTGGATGGGCTCTACAATTCTTCCTCACATGCTGAAGGATTGGAAGCAGCTGGCTTTGGTGGTGCGGTGGTGAGCTGAGCATGGAGTGAGATTTCTACTTCGCTTGCTTGCCGTCCTTCCTTCCTGCGATGCGATGCGATGCGACGCAATGCGATGCGCGGATTGCTTCAAAACCACTGTTGATGTGCGCACAGCACAGGGGAGTGTGGCATCGTATCCGATGCGCATATACGACAGGTTTGCTAATGGAGGTGGGTGTATGCTGCGTCATTGAGAATGGCAATTGGAATTTGACATCGAGATGAGCCAAAGGAAATGATTGCGTGGTGGTGACGGAGATGGGAATTTGTCTATGGTGGCGTGTTTACCGGTGATTCGTAGGTTGTGGCACTGGCAGAAGCGTTGTAGTGTTTTAGACTACTGCCACATATTTCAACTTGAACATGAGACTAGTCACTAGAACTGTTACAGGCCGTTGTTCCATTGGAAAAGTGTTTGAAGTTTCCCGAGGCTCTCTTCCATGTACTTGTTATGAAGCTGTCTTTCGAGACGTCTCACCCACAACATCGTGGCCCCCATGGCCCGCTGAGACTGGTGATTGAAAATGGCAAAAGCACCAGTCCATACCTTGTATGCCTACGGATGCAGGGTGCCGTGTGCTATGGTAGTACGTGCATGATACATATTATAGCAGTAGGTACTCGAGATGCAGTGTGGAGAGTACGGTAAACCCTGATCCGCAGGATATAATATACACCCCTGCTTGCAGCCATCGCTTTCCCACAGTACCAACGACCTGGGCACCGCACCCTCATGTTGGTTTTAGATGAGCTTGAACAAAGAGGGCTGTGTTGTGTCAGACCCCACAGTCTGGGTCAAAACGTGTAGAGCATGCGGTGTTGTATATATACATTGCTGTACGAAGACGCAGGTTTGTATGTGACTGCAGCTCAACAGCTACTCTGAAACTCGGTCGTCCCAGAGTAACATACCCAACCATGGTGTAGAAAGAGGGTGGAGGGGGGTTACCTGGCGCCTGCATCCAGTATTGTCTTTGCAGGCGGGCGGACTGGTAACTGGTGGGTTTCAGCGTGAATGCAGGAAAGTAGACATAGCTTGCAAAGGGAAGCGGTTTCTACTCAACAGATGCCCGAGGCCCCGAGGCCCGATAGCAGGATGAATGGAGATATTGATTTTCAAATGAACGGAACCAAAACCAGAGGGAAAAACAGACCCCGTTGGCGCCCAGAAGCCAAAGATTCGATACAACACGACCTATTGAATTTCTCCTTCCTTTTTGGCAACATGCACCAGCACGGACAGAGAGGGGGGCGGTTGGGGGCTTTGGTGTGCGGAAGATCCCACACAAGACACCAGTTTTGCGTCCCGTTGATTCTGCCTGATTCTGCCCATTCTGCCTTGGACAAAGATGCGACGACAAGGGCCTTGCATGCGGCTCAAAAACGTCCGTCCCGTTTGCTCTCACGATAACGGAAGACTTCCCAATACGGCACTCCGCCCTCCCTGCGACATGCCATGGCAAGTGGATCTCCTACAAGCCAGAAGAAGGGTCCGCAAACTCCACTCGACGAAACATGACCGTATGTACCATGCTCATTGCTGAGTGGTGCGAAATTTCCTCATCTCTCGGCGGAGCAAGCGAGCCCGATTGATTAATGCGCGCCGACTAGAGCCAGAGTGGACCACCGTGTCCACGACCATGGTACGTACTCGTGCGTATCATATGTCCATAGTATATGTACATACTACAGTACTATACATATTAGTTATGCGCAACACGGAATCCTCCCAGCCTTATCCGCGCGTTCTCGACCCGTATTCTCCCCCACGTCCACTGTCCCTTTCCAGGTCGGGAAAGGAGAAAGGGCGGACAAAACGCCGATGCAGGCCCCAGCGAGATGCGATGGAATGATGGCGAACCCAAGGCCCTCTTGGCATGTCTCTTTTCTGCCCAGAGTTGTGGAGACCCCGCAGGCTGTTTGATGTCTAAACGGCCCAAGGAAGGATGCGCGCCATGGGGGGGCTTGCTGCGTCTAGAAGCTCGCTAGACGTTGAGCAAGGGGAGGGAGCTGGCAGGTCGGCGGGCGCGCACTGTTCTTTTGTTGGTTTCATCCAAGTGCCCTATTTGCGACTTTGCATTTGCCTCTTGGTGTGTTCCGGCCATCCCCGGCCATCTTCCGACCGGGGCTGTTTCCCCGAGAATCAAGGGGAGAGAGGATGGGGAGGGGCCGCGGGCTTGATGGAGGAGGTTTGCAGTGCCCCAGAGCAGGGCCGGGTGTGGCATGGAAAGTTATTCCGGTTAACTGTGGTGCGCTGAGTACTGTACTAGAGTAGACAGTGTGCAGGATCCTACCATCTATGCAAGTATCAGCTGGCGAAGGTTTCGGTCTAGTAGAGTAGTACTCTGCGCTTCCTTTTCCCAATCTGCATTGCTTCTCCCCCTCCCCTTATCTTTTGCTTTTCACAGGGCGGGCATCGCCGAGCAAACGGTAGCAGATGTTTTGTTCATGCCAAGCAGATTATGCGGTTTAGCTGAAAAGACGTCATGGGGAAGCAGGCAAGCTCTAGTGTGCCCACGATGCTTCGGATCGCACGCAGATTGGCCGTGGGGACGGTCAAGGGGGGGGGGCAAGTCTATCTGAAACCTGGGCTATGCCTATGTACGTACTATAGTGCCCATGTACCCCGGGTATCTCCCCAACTCGCCCCCCTCCCCCAAATTCAGTCCACCAAAAAAACCCTTGAAAAAATTATCTCCCCAGTCCCCGGTTGGCCCCTCCAGTCAAATGAGGTATATACCAAAATTAAAACCATCAAATCGCTCGGCATGACCGTTCTTCACGGTCCTCATCATGCAACAGCACATGGTCCATGGGCACACAGAACAACACCGAGCAGAGAGAGAGAGCAAGACTGGAGAAGGCAATGCGCATGTGAGAGGGAGAGAGAAAGAGGAAAAAAGCGCCGACCAGACATGATGATGCCCCCACCTGCTCTCCAACCTACTTTTAGACATCCTCGTCCTCAATCATCGATCGATACCACATTTGCCCGTCGGAATGCATGCGCAGTAACAGAGTCGAGTGCCCACCCAGCTTGCCCTTTGTATCCGGAGCACTCCCGTTCTCTTTCCTCTCCAAACCTTCAACACATGTAGAAGGTGGCTAGCTCGGAGTAATCTCCCCCAGATAACAAAACCAAAATACCACCACACCAAGACCGTACTCTACACGCGCGCCATGCCGGCCCGACAACCTTACCCCTCCCCATCATCCCATCCCACAAACGCGCGTGCCCGCAAGAGAAGGAAAAAAGCGACTAATGGCTCTAGCGCCCATCTTTACGTACGTGAATACGTTGGCGGAAATCTCTCCGGTAGACCTGCCGGTTTGGAGTCGGGCCCAGATACTTTGTTGAGAGGGGTACCGATGTAGGTACCGTACATGTGGTGGTGACAGGTGTTGTGTGACACGGTAGGTAGTATGTGTGAGGGGGTTGAGAAAGAGAAGACGAGAGAGGGTGAAAGAAACTGATCGTCGTTGCATATGGGCTAGAGGAGAGAGGGGATGGCTGTATTGGATGGGATGCTCGCTGCTGGTGGTTTTTTTTTGTGGAGTGCAGGAGAAAAAGTCTGGGGTGCATGCCCAGTCGCACCAGTAGGACTTACTTTGTCGCCATCATCGTCGCCATCATCGATCACTAATGCGACCTTTTTTTTTCCTTTGAGCGAGTAATCTCAGATCGCATTGCCTGAGCGTGATTAGTATCCGGGAGACTTGCTGTGACACACCGTGACACCCAGCTGACATTGATGCTCTGTCGGGTAGGTATAGAAGTATAGTAAGACTATATCTCGCACCCTACCGTACACTAGCCCCATAGCCCATAGTCAGACACTGCAAAAAAAAATGCCTTTGCACAAGTATCACGATCACAGCTCCCCATGCACTCCATGCACCCCCATCATGACCCAAAAAACCCCCCCCCTCTGCACCATCCACACAAGAAAAGAAAACCACTATACACGCAACATGCCCACCCCACCACCCGCTAACAAGCAAAACCGTAATAAAAAAGAAACCAGGAAAAGAAACCCACTTCTGACATACCCCTCCCCACCACCCCACACGACAACGATAGATCAGCAACAGGGATTGCGGCTATCGTCCTT